TGGAGGTGGGACGGGGACTATAGGACAGTGGAGGTGGGACGGGGAGTACAGGTCAGTGGAGGTGGGACGGGGACCACAGGACAGTGGAGGTGGGATGGGGACTATAGGACAGTGGAGGTGGGACGGGGACTATAGGACAGTGGAGGTGGGACGGGGACCGCAGGTCAGTGGAGGTGGGACGGGGACTGCAGGACAGTGGAGGTGGGACGGGGGGAGCACAGGTCAGTGGAGGTGGGACGGGGACTGCAGGACAGTGGAGGTGGGACGGGGACCGCAGGTCAGTGGAGGTGGGACGGGGACTGCAGGACAGTGGAGGTGGGACGGGGACCGCAGGACGGTGGAGGTGGGACGGGGACCGCAGGTCGGTGGAGGTGGGACGGGGACCGCAGGACGGTGGAGGTGGGACGGGGACTATAGGTCAGTGGAGGTGGGACGGGGACCACATGTCAGTGGGGGTGGGATGGGGGGAGTACAGGTCAGTGGAGGTGGGGGACACAGGACAGTGGAGGTGGGACGGGGACTGCAGGTCAGTGGGGGTGGGGGACACAGGCTTGGGAATGGCCGACTTCCAGGACTCGGGCAGTGACTCCTGCCTGGCAGAACGGGACCTGGCAGTCTATTTCCTCCTTCTGTCTCTCAACTCCACAGCTGCTGTGAATATTCCAGCTACAGGGGACTGTGGAGAGGCACAGAGCCTGGCCTGCGGTAGATGGTCCAGATACAGGGGACCGTGAAGGTCCAGGAAGCCCGGCCTGCTTTCCCTGCGACCATCCAGGGCCTGTGGCCACGGAGGCCGCTGCTGGTCTGGCTGTTCACGGTTAATCCAGCTGCCCCTTGGAGCCATGTCTGAGGCAGCAGTGGCCGTCCCAGGGAGGGGCCTCAGCTGGAGGGGCCATTTGCTAAGACAGAGCGTCGGCCTCTTCAGTGTATTCTGGAGATGGGGAGGAATTGGGGTGAACGAGGGTTCTGGGAAGGAAAGAGCCCCAGACTGCCAGGGGCTGGGGCGAGAGGTCGCTTGGTCCACCCTGAGCAGCA